AAATATTGTGTTAATTCTTTCTCTGGTGATGGAACTAATACTGGATCTTCATCCTCAGCAGGATGATCAAAGCATTCTAAAAGAATATTTTGGGTTGTTGGTGTAAGTTGTTGTGATTTTGATGTTGTTGAAGACTTTGTCGAAGAACAAGGTGTTATATTGATAATTGATGATCCAGAAGATGTAGACGATTGACGTTTTAACAATTCAGCTTTAACTAAATCCATAGCTTTAGATTTTTCATGAGGAGCAATTTGAAATTGTTTTAAAGACGGGTGAAGTAAACATGAAATATAGTGAACGTCCTGCAAAACCCATACAGTTTTAAGACGTCGAGCTGCAATGAAAAAAAAGAATACAACAATAGATTACATAACTAATTATATGTCAGCAGTGTAAGTGTAATAAAAGCTTTATCATCATTTTCTCCTTGTTCATTCACATCAAAACAATAGTTGAAAATTAAAAAAAAAGGTATAACTTACATAAGAAAAGCTTCATTTCTTTTAAACCTTCACAATCGTTCGGTTTTACTTCGCATTCGTTAAGTAATCGTTGATGAAGTGGAAGAACTTTATAAATGGTTGGTTGTTTATCATCACTAAGTTGTTCGATTACCTCATCGAACACTTTCAGAAATGAACATACTTGTTCCAAAAATTCTTTATCCAACAACAAATATTCGTTTAAATTTATATTATCAAGAACAAGACCTAATTCATCAAAAATATCCAAAAATACTTGTAACATATGATAAGCACCATTAAATCTTGTTTCTGAGTACGTTTGTACTCTTTTCGACATCTTGGTCTGTTTATGAGACCTTCTTAGATGAGAAACTATTTTCTTTACACGTTCAAATAATACTTGAGCAAGATCACATTGTACAGGTGATTTATCAATTTCTTTTTTAGTAAACATATGTTCAAGCTGTTTATTGATGAAATGGCACGAACAACCAATACGCTGACAGTTTAATCTGAATGTTGAAAGCATCTTTGGTTCGTTATCGGAAACAATGTAAACATTTTCATTTAACTGTAATTTATAATCAGATAGTTTTGATTCAACAAACTTCCTTGTATTAATTGCACTATTTGATTCAAGATCATAATGGTAGCATCCTAACACAAAACAGTATAATTTCCAATCATCATTTATGTGATGTAACGAAATTCCACAATATTGAATACCTTAAAGGACAAAATAAATATTACTAGAGATGTGAAACGTTATTCTAACGAACCCGTATGGATATCCTTCCAAGAATCAACAACAACAGTATATTCAAGCATTTTCTCACAAATTGAAACTAATTGCTGATGCTTTTGATTATATAATTTATTAATTTGACGGCTAATCTAGGAAAGTGAAGAAAATTACCTTGCTGTGGTTATAACAGATTAAAAAATATCTTTCTTACTGTTGTTGGATGTGGAAGTAATTTTTCAACATTAATATCTTTAGATATAGGTAAATATTTGCCGGCATCGAAAATTTTTTGTGCAAGATTTTTGAAGCCTATTCCATGAATTGTTTTAAATGATCGAGAATCAAGTGCTGCAAATTCAGCACAAGCAACGTTGATTTCCTGCTTTACTCGATCTGGAATAGCAGGTTCATTTTTTGAAGATGCATAAAATTGATTGATAGTTGTCTGATTATGAGAAGCTGTCGTTTTGACCTTTTGACAGCTACTAATATGTTTAGATAAAGAATTAGTACCAGAAGATGGTTTATAAATAAGTAATTCTTCACATTGATTGCAAACAACATATTCCTGTTTGATATCTTTAACGTAAATATGACTAAAACTATTCCATACAGCTGAAGATTTTGGTGTTACTGTTGGTTTGACAATTTTCAATGACGAATTTTTTTTATCAATTAGTTGTTCAATTTCTTTTTTCGTTAACATAGTTTGCTTTTTAATAATCGAAAAGTTTCAATTTAATGACTATTTAATAATGAAAAAATCAACAAAAAGAAATAATTGTACATTCACTTTATTTTTAAAGTGGCCAATGAAGAGCTAAAACCTTGTACCTTTATCCGTTTATGTACACAGAGGGTGCCAGATATTGGTGAAAAAAAGACCGGGCCTAAAAATTTAGTTTTTCCCGGGCCCGGGTCCGGGTCCAAAAAAACATGGGCCCGCAGCTCTCTAAGTATGACCATTACCAAATTGTTGAGACAAGGTAAATGACCGTTCGTGTTTATCATACATTGATTTTTGTTCATTTGTTGTATCACGTTTTTTATTAAACAAGTTGACCATTGAACTAGCATCATTTGTTATTATAGGATCATCGTCGGACAAGTCTGACCAGTCCAGTGGTAATGGTTCATCACATTCGAAGTCAATCTATCAAATCCACAATACAATAGAAAAAAACGGTATATAATCTCGACTCACATATGAATAATTTTCTATTTCACGTATAGCATTTTTACATTTTTCTAATCCTGCAAATAGACAGAAAGAGCCGAGTATTTATTAGTAAAAGCTAAAGTGCACAAGGCTTACCTTGTAAATATTCTAATGAATATTTATCAGTTGATTTACCACCAGAACTTTTTGATAAATTTGAATGATGAATTGGTTCTAATGGTTAAGAAGAATAGGTATAAATACTAAATATAAGCTTTTCAAATTTGAAATTCTTTACCAGGATTAGCTGAATCATAATGTATAGAAGATATCGAATAATATCTCTTGACATTATTGAAAACCGAAATAAATCGACGAAGCATGTTATAATAATTTTGTATTCCATGTATTGAATTTTTACGTTTTTCTAATCCTGCAAATAGACAGAAAGAGCCGAGTATTTATTAGTAAAAGCTAAAGTGCACAAGGCTTACCTTGTAAATATTCTGATGAATATTTATTAGTTGATTTACCACCACAAGAACTTTTTGATAAATTTGAATGATGATGAATTGGTTCTAATGATTAAAAAGAATAGGTACAAACACTAAATAAAAGCTTTTCAAACTTGAAATTCTTTACCAGGATTAGCTGAATCACAATGTATAGAAGACATCGAATAGTATCTCTTAACATTACTCAAAACCGGAATAAATCGACGAAGCATGTTGTAAAAGTCGAAACAATTACGAAAAAAATTTGTTTAAATGCCAATGAAAAAAAAAAATAATAATAAACAACAACAATCGTCGCATTGTTATTGGCGTTCTTTTTCCACTATTCCTGAAAGAGATAGGTGGCGCAAAGCAAATGTTGGCTTCGATTTCATTTAATGAATCACTTTACTAGTTTCATCAACATAATAAGTATGTCAATTGTTGTTTGTTATATTTGTTGTAATGGTGTACGAAACATATGTGGGCACCGTTTAAGGGAAACAACCGTTTAAGGGGAAATACGGACACCATGATAGAGGCACAAATGTTAAATCTGATTGGTT